AGTAGATAATTCCAATTAGTGTTCCAAAGTGGTTATATGAATTTGTACTTCACCCCTCCCCAAATAGTATACAACAGCTCCATGGCACCACATTCTTAACCATATCTGCTATTGCCAATATATATTTTAATAACTTTAGTCATTCTGGTGGGTGTATATTAGTAACTCATTATGGTTTTAATTTATATTTCCCTGATGACTAATTTTGTTGGCTACCTCTCAGATGCTTCTTGGTTACTCGGATATACTCTTTTATGATGTAACTATTCAAACCTTTTGTCTGTTTTTCTCTTGGGTTATGGAATTTTATGAGTTCTCTGCATATTCTGGATAGGAGTATCTTGTCATATATGCAGTGAAACAGTGTTCTCTAGGCCACTGTTTGTCTTACTATTTTGTGATGACATTTAAGAACAGAAATTTTATTTCTATATAAAATTAATTCTGAAATGCTGAAGGTTAGAACCTCAACATGTCCTCTTGGGGGTGTTACAAATTAACTTATAACAGGTTGCATTTATTCCTTAATTCTGTAAGAATTAATCTGTGAATCTCTCTGGGCTTGGAATTATATTGTGGGAAAATTTTAAATGACAGGTTACTCTCTTTCAAAACAGTAGAACTCTTCAGAGTTTTCATTACTTATGTCATTGTCTATTGCTCCTTTCTGATTTTTTTTCCTGCATATATTTTAAAACTAATATTCAGCAAATACAAATTTTGAATTATTATATCTCTCTCTTTAAAATGATGGATGCATTTCTCAAAAATGTTCACCATCACTTGTAATAAGGGAGATGCAAATTAAAACCACATTGAGATACCACCAGTGAGAATGGCACATCTTAAAACAACTAGCAACAACAAATGTTGGCTAGGATGTGGAGAAAAAGGAACTCTCCTGCCTTGCTGGTGGAAATGCAAACTAGTACAACCACTATGGAAAACTGTTTGGAGGTTCCTCAAACTGCTTAACATGGAGCTTCTGTATGACCCAGCAATCCCACTCCTAGGTATCTACCCAAAAGACACAAAAACACTGATTTAAAAAGACACCTGCAGCCCCATGTTTATTGCTGCTTTATTCACAATAGGAAAGACATGGAAACAATCCAAATGCCTTAAAGTAGATTACTGTATTAAAAGATGTGGTACATATACACAATGAAATATAAATCTGCATTCAAAAAAGATAAACACACATCTTTTGCAGCAACATAGATAGAGCCGGAAAAGGTCATGCTTAGTGAAACAAACCAGAAAGAAAAGGAAAAATACCGATGGTTTCACTCAGACATTTTACGGGGGTGGAGTGGGAAATGGGATCAAAAATGGTGGAGGGAAGTACATTGGACTATGGTGATGGCACACGGGTGATCTGATGATGGGTAGTCCATGGGATTACAACTAAGATGGAAAAATAAACTATTATATCATTTAAAAAACGATGCATGCATTTCTCATTTCTAATAACATTCTTGTTTTGAAGTTTGTTTTGTCTAATATTAGTATAGATGGAGCAGCTAAAAGTGTAAGCCTTTGACTCATCTGTGTTGACTCACATATGTTTATGTGTTCACCTTCTATCCTTTTACTTTCTATCTACAGAAGTCTCGCATTACAGGTATAGCTTTTGTAAGCAGTGTAGAGTTGCTTTTTTAAAATACAATTTAAGAATCTTATCTTTAAATCTGAAGTATTCAGATAACACATTTAATATAATTACTGATACATTTGATTTTAACTTATCATCTTCATGTTTTTGCTTGTCTCATGTATTCTTTAATTTTTTTTCTCCTTTGGTATTTTATTTAGCATTTATATTTATTCTCTATAGAAGTGTCATTCTGATATCAATCCCCCATCAGGATGGGAAGCAGAAGTGCTATATATTACCTCTAATCTATTCCATTCATTCACTGTCATGACCTATTTCCACACTGACACACATACTTCCATAGTGTCATAGCATTGTACTGAATGAATACCCTGATCCTATGTAACTTTCCTCTCCTTAAATTATATTTAACAATTCCATGATTCTATTTAACAACTCCCTATTTGAGGACTCTGAGACTGTTGCCAAGCTTTTCACTGTGAACGACACACTTCTCCAGGTTTACTTGTGGACCTGGTTATTCCCTTAGTAAAACATCCTAGAAGTACACAGATGAGTCAAAGGTTTACACTTTTAAATACTTTTCATCAGTATTGCCAAACTTCCCCTCATGAATTTCATACAATGCCATGCCCAACAGTTGTATGTTTCTCAGCACAGGGGCCAATGCTGAGTGTTGCTGTTCCTTTCTACCGTTGCCAATCTGATGCCTAAAAGTGGTATCTCGACTCTGTTTCAATCTGCATTTTTTTCCAGGTTGATAGGTGTGGTAGGCTGATAATGGCTGGCTCCCAAACATAAATCCACTGTACTAATCCCTGAAAGCTGTGAATGTTACCTTCCAAGGAAAAGGATTCTTCTCAGATGTAATTAAGTTAAAGATCTTGACCTGGGGAGATTTGACAGGATTATCTGGGTGGACCTTAAGTGACATTAAGTGTCCTTCCTTAAAGGAGGAGCCAGAGAGATTTAACACACACAAGAAGGTGATATGACCACAGAGGCAGAAACTGGAGTGCTGGCAGCCATAGGAAGTGGAAAAGACAAGGAATATATTCTTTCTAGAGTTTTAGGAGGGAAGGTGGTCTTGCCAATACTTTGATTTTGATTAAATGAAAATCACTTCAGACTTTCAGCTTTTAGAACAGTGAGAACATGCATTTCTAGAGTTTTGAGCTACCAAGTTTGTAGTGATTTGTTAGAGTAACTAATACAATGGACTTTTTATATGTTTATGGACCACAGAATAACCTTATGACTTTTAAATATGTATGAAAGTAAACTATCACACAACAGAAGTAACAGTTCTACTCTTGCAAAAGTAAATCTGAGTATTTGTAAATGTGCTTACCTGTGTACATAAGTGTCTAGTCGTCTGGACAATAGCAGTGGTCATCTGGAGGGACATGGGGGAAGGGTCCTGTGTCCTAAGGGGAGAAAGTATTTTAGATAAACTACTACCTGAAATAGATCTACAGCTTGAAAAAGCTTTATGAGACTGTATTCAGGTGTTCATTGTGTAAAAACATAGGTAATGCATATATACTTGCTGTAATCAAAATGTGAGGCAAGTAGAAAACAAAACTGTCCCTCTCCTTTCACATATCCCTGTCCCAGAACTAATTTTTGATAATAATTTGGGGATATCTTCTCAAGCTTTTTTCTATGGAGAAACAAATATATGCGTGTGGTTTTGAAAAACAAAGAATGAATGCTAATACAATGAATACCGCTCATTGAAAGGTGTTTCTCCAAAATCATTCTAAGCTCCGTCTGTATAGGAGTCTCATTCTGCGGAGCTCGTTGCTGCAGAGACTAGAAAAGACCAGAAAGAAATAACTGTAAGTAAAAGGAGACTAGAACTCATTGGACCAGCCTCCCACTGCTCTGAAGTTCCTTGTATTAGTGCCTTTGCCCAGAGGTGCAGGCTGTAGAAACGGCGAGCTGTGTTTCGTTATTCCCACACTGTCTTCCAGTCTGCAGTTAAAATGTATACTCTCACTAGCAGCTCCCCGCTGTGGTCGATACAAAGTCCACTTTTCAAATGTGGAGCGGGATGATATCTTAATGTTGATATATATAACAGGCTGGATGGATATTTTCCCATGTGCTCATTGGCTACAGCGACAGTTTTGTGAACGGCTTCAAGAGGTCACTGGGCAGACAATTTACCTTCGCAACGAACCAAATCCGAATCGTTTTTGAACTCGACAGTGAGTTAACTATCCAGTTTAAGACCTAGTTTGAATGGGGAGTTTGAAACCATGGGAAGGTGATCTTTGGGATTTCGGAAGTGGTGGGAGGGAGTCGGGGGTTATCCTGAACACTTGGACTAGGTCAAAAGCCTTGGCTAAGGCGCGGTCGGGGAACGCTGGGGTCCCGAAGGAAGGCAGCGCGGAAGGGCGCTCAGCATATTACCAGGTATCCTAAATTTCTCCCAAACCTCTCTCTACTCTGTCATCCCGCGAGGACCACCGGACGGAGCGGGATCCGGCTTTCCCAGCCGCAGGCTGGCGGCGCGGGTCTGTCCCAAGTTTCCCCGCAAGGGGGCAGTGCCGCCCGGCAGCTCACGGTGGGCGGTGTGGAGCCCGTGCAGAGTTCTGGGGGCTGCTTGCAAGAAAGTTAGGGGATGCCTCGGGTTTGGGGTGGTCTCCAGCGGTTCACCCGAGGGTGGGAGAGGCCCACCGGGGTGCGGAATGAGGCTCAGTGGAGGGGGTCAGAGCGAGTCTGGGGGTCTGGGCCGTGCGCGCTGCGGGAGGCGCAGCCCCGGGAAGGTGTGAGTGAGTGTGCGAGCGTGAAAGTGAGTGAGTGAGTGAGTGTGTGTGTGTGTGTGTGTGCGTGCGTGTGTGCGCGCCGAAGCGCTCCGGGTTCAGCGAGGCGCGGGTGTCAGCTTGCAGCCGGGGCTCCTCCCTCCGGCCCCCCTGCCCAGCCCGGCGGTCCCTCCTTCCTTCTCCGCTCGCCCCTCCCTGGCGGGCCCGGCGCTGGGACGCCCCGGCGGAGCAGGCGGCGGCGGC